CTCATGTACAAAATTAAATGTTAGCAGTTCTAACAAGATTCTTTTACATCTATATTACACTGTGCTTACAAATATTGAACACTCAAAACAAAACACATTAACTAAAAGTGGGATGACTAATTTAAAGTCAAAAACCATTACTGTATATGAATATTCAAATGCAGTTTTACACAATCAGCTCACAGATACAATAAATTTGCCATTAGTTAAATTTTATGTAGTTCTTCTTAAATACTTTGATAGTTTTGTCAATACACTACTTTCTGATGTCAATTTTAATCTGAGCACTCAAAAATGATAGATTTATACTGTGCAGTTCAATGGAGATTCAGATTTCAAAGAATTGGTAGTTCAGTATAATTAATAAACTAAATAAATCTGTGAGTTTTATAGAAAGTGTAATAATAGAACTTACTGTGCATTATCAATGGTTTTTAAATGGTGTCTTAAACCATTTGAAACAATTAAATATGTTAATAAAAGTGAAAGCTACACACATTTAGAACAATTGAGAGTGGTCCTGTCATTAGTTAATAGCTCAGTTAATAAAGATTGCACTCCATTACAGAGCTTACGAAAACAATTTAATAAATTGTATAAAATGTTGCCATATTCATCATTTATTGAAGCTGATTTATTAATTAAATTAGATGAACTAAATAAGAAGCTTAGCCTCTGGTGGCACATGGATCAATCACATATCACTACTATGAATTCAAGAATAAAAGTACTATGCCAAGAAGATGGTTTCAAAATGCACGATTTATTAGTAGAAGCTTATTTTGAAGTAAAAAATAAAAATTATGAATTAGTTTCTAATATAGTGCATAAAATTGAAAAGTTCTGTATTGATACCATAAAAGTTGAAGACCAATTGTTACCTAAGCATCATTTCAAAAAACAGCTGTGGACACTGCAAGAGTTTTATATATTTTATGCAATTAATTATATGCTATCCTATTTCCTAGAAAAATCGAAGTCAATATTTGAACAGACAAATCCCATTAATGAAAATTTAGTTATGAAATCTTGTTTCAATTATATAATTGATATGCTATCCACGAAAAAACAAATTCCTCCAAAATTTATACATCATTTGAAAAATGTGAATGACACTGGTACCTCATCAAATTTGATCAATGCAATTAATTCGATAAATGAATATGAGATGAACTTTTTGATGACTGTTTCTTCTATTTATGTTGAAAATCCAGGAGAAGATATGATAAACATGGCAAAGCATTCTCCATTATTAATAGCTATAGTAAATGATATTATATATCCAAAAAATAAACAACTTGATAGCTTAGACACAGTTCTTGAAAGAAAACAGCATTTGACTACTATTAATAAATTATTATATAATAATATGGTCTTGGTCAATTATGTCAATGTTTTGGAAGAGAATGCTCAATATATTATTAATAGCTATAAATTATTAATTTTAGAATTAGCAACATGTCTTAAATTATCATCAGTACCATTTAAAATTGCTGAAGTAGTCAATTTGTGCAATAGAAAATTGGATTTATTATTTGTTGGCCACAATGATGTCATTTTGAAACAGAAAAATAATTTTAAACAGGCAATAAATAAATCTCTGATTGTGATGAAATCTTTGGAAGAGTTAGTCAAGATTAAACTTAAAAATTATGAGTGGAAAATTGAAATGATATATCAAGTTGGTTTGCTAAATATATTCATTGGACTATTGAAGATCACTTTATTCTGCAGTTTAGGTCCAATGGACTCAATACAAAAACATGGACTCAAACTACAATATATTAAAGAAGAATTATTATCTGCAGAAAATTTTATACTATCTGGAAAACTAAATGAATATATTAAAAACGGAAGTTTGGATGTTAAACATGATTATCACAAAAAGCTCTATGAGTTATGGAATAATTTAAAATTACGGGAACAAAAACTATCAGAATTTCAAGCTGTTCGCCCCGTTCTAAATTATTCATCTCTGAGTAAAGATTGTGAACATTTTATAAAAACTATAACATCATCTGAATTTGTGTTTGATCTTCTAAGAAAAATTGAAAAATATAAAATTTTGCTATATGATGGATGCTTTGTAAACAAAAATGATACTTCAGAGAAAGGTCTAGATATAGCAAAGCAATTATTGAGTGAAATCTCATCTTGGAAATATTCTCAAATTCGTTTTAAAAATCATATCAACACAAATTTTATGTCGTATCCAGATTTAATAAAACCAATATCATATGCAGTATCACACTTAGTAACAGGTGTTCAGGGCCTAGAGGAAACATTGATGAAACTCATTTTTGAAATGAAGAGCACTATAAGAGATAAAGATGAAATATTAACAAATATTATCAAATTTCCGTTTGGAAATATTGGTTCAAAATGTTTTGTTAATGACTTGATATCAGGAAAAACTTCTAAACTTCTAAAAAATTATAGCAAGAATACCTTAGGATATAATCGAGATAATTACATAATAATGCTAAATTCATTGAAGGAAATAAAAAATTACTGCATTGCCTCAAACTCCTTAAGCCCCAAGTTTATGGAATATATAAATATTATACTTAAAAATCTCGTATGCCAATGGCAAAAACAAGAACAAGAGAAAGAACAGAAGAAAATTGAAGAAGATAATTTGTATGTCACAAAAGTTAAATGCCAAGAGGAGGATGAGGAACAACGAACTTGCAAAGAAATTCAAGAATTCTTTCCTAGTTTCTTAAGCTTAGATTTTTATGATTTTAAATCAGATAATCTCAATAATGTAGCTGAAAAAAACAAAGAAGCAAATATGAACACGGATTTAATAACATTTGATGATATGACATTAATTAGTAGTATTCACATGGATTTAATGTTTGCTTTTACAAAAACAGATTGGTTGTGCCCTAAAAAACATGAATTAGACATTAATTATGTTGATTCATTGTTGGAGAGATATGAGATTTTCAGCAGGATCATAGGTGAATCAATTAATGGCTGCAATTCGGATATGGATGTTAAATTATTAGCTAGTTTGAACACAATAACTAGTGTTATGTTGGATAAATTAAATAATAAAGACAGTTCATATAAATCAATACGTAGTAATCAGTATGATTTTTATTCTGATAGCAATATTGCTATGGCCCGAGGAGCACATCAAATATTATATGCTATTCTTGATGTGGTTAAAAAACAATTAGAAGATTGGCCTGAACATCCAATTTTAAATGATATTGCTACCATAACAAATAGAGTTTTAAATTTTTCTGTAAACAGTCCATTGTCTAGGTTCTTAACTGGTATTGAACTACTCAGAGACAAAGTTGAAGAATGGAATAAGAATGCGCATAGGGAAAACAATTTGAAAACTCATGCTTTAGAACTTGCTCAGCTCATTATTGACTGGAGAAAATTAGAGTTAAATAGTTGGAGAGATTGCTTGAATATTGCTCAACATCGACAAGAAGCTATTGCATATAAATATTGGTTCTTTATTTATGCTTTGATTGATCAGTATTTTTCTGAATCACAATTACTAGAAGAAATAAATAAAGCTCTCAAGCAATTTATAGAACTATCAAGCATTTCAGAATATAAGATACGTCTTCAAATATTGAAAGCTTTCCATTGCCATATAACATATTTTCCTACAAGCAATAAACGTGATGAACTTTTATGTTTGCTTTGGAATTTACATCAATACTACAGCCAGTTTATTTCTATTGTTGAAACTCAGTTAAAAAAATTTAAAACCCCAATTGAAAAAAAAATGCGCGAATTTGTAAAAATTACAAGTTGGGATAAAAACTTGAGCTATTGGGCTGTGAAAGATAGCGTTGACAAAACACATAGAACATTGCATAAGCATATTAAAGAATATCAAGAAATTTTAAGAAAACCAGTTACAAAATGTTTATTTGACAACTTAATGTTATCCAATGAGAATAATGTTGGAGCCTGGGATCGTCCGCATAGACAATCCAACCAGTATCAGTATATGACTGAAACTTTTAACTACATTGCTAACATAAAATTAAAACGTTTCATTGTATCTGAAGTTACTGAAAATAAGATGACGCATGTTTTTAACAAAGCAAGAGACATTAGTAAGGAATGCATTTTATTATGCAATTATCCATCTAAATTGCAAACAATAGATGTTATGTTGACTGAAATTATTGATACCAGTGATCACTATAGAAATTTAGAAATAAATACAACTTTACCTAAAAACAAACAAATTTCACAAGCTAAGAGTATTTTGCAGCAAAAACGGAAGGCTTTGTCCGATTTATTCAAATATCTTCAACAAATTGGACTTTCATATAGAAGTGGTCTATTGGAAATTAATATTCAAGGCGATGACTTGCTAAACTTTAAAATAAAACCAATGGATATTGAAGTGCTTGTGGGCTGCTTGAGTAGCAGAAAGTGTGATGGTATTTTACTCGCTGTTTGGGATGGTTGTGATAAATATTATTTCAGATCAATTGCTAGATATGTAGGTCTGATGAATGTAATGAAATCCCCAGCTCAAGACTTGGGAATACAAAATATTGATCGGTGCAAAGGATTTGCAGCTGATACAATACTCTTAGTTCAATCACAGAAAGAACTGTTAACCACTGCCTCACATAGTCTAGTCATATTAAGGAGTCAAATTGATTTTATTTCATCTCTTGAGGAAACTGAATTTACAGTTAAACAATCATTTCTAGAAACCCACCTTATTGCTTTAGAAGATACATTAGTGCATATTATCTCAACTATGAAGCAATTCAAAATAACTTTAAATTCAATTCCTTCAGATAAACTTGACCAAAGTATAACTTCGGATGTAATAAGTTTTGACAATATTTGTTTCAATGATTCTAGTATTTTATTGTGTAAAGAAGATATTTTGTGGTGTAATACAATTGATATTGTGAACAATATCATATCTAATACCGAAAAAACATTAAATTTATTGATTAAGCATAAATGTACTATGCCATTAATTCTGCATGATTTTAAAAAATTCAAATCTGTGTGCTTCAAGCGGTCAACCTTATACCAAGTGATTGTAAATGGATATATTCATGTTCGTAGCATCTGTAAGGAACTTGAAGCCATATTTAGAAAATTCGAAAATGATGTATATATGCATCCCATGTGTTTGTGTGTGCATGATTTACATAACTCTATTTCTGAAGCATTAATATCATATGATAGTGATTCAAAATGTAATGAAGATAAGGTTACATTGGCAGAGGATTTGAAATTGGTTTTTACTTCTAATACTGATAAACTTATAAATACTTTACAAATATCTCTTCAAAGCATTTATAAAAAGTACTTGAAAAGAAATGAATCGCACACATCAAGTGAGACAAAAAAGAATCAGCAAGAAAATGTAAATGATGCAGTAGCTGATGAAAAATGTATCAAGCTGTCTGATATTGAAACGAATCATTTAAAGCAAATGCATTGTGATTTGGTTGAAGATATTAATTTATTGAATGTGAAAAAAATAATTTTGCTAGTAGAAGATCTTTTACAAAATGCAGTAACCTTTGTCGAGTCAGGAATTTTTGATACAAGGTTAAAATCGCTGTTACTTCAGTGCAACCCTATGTTGGAACAATTAGCTTTATTAGCTCAATATTTTTTAACACAGCAAGTAGCTACTCACCGGATAAGTTGCAAAATGTTGTCTATTCTATTGAATATTTTCAGTGAGCTAGGATTAAAGGTAAGAATTAGTAATATATTATATATATATATATATATATATATATATATATATATATTGAATTTACATTGAAGATAGATATAGTCTTGAAACGTCTATAATTTTATGAAAGTTATGCAAAAAGCAATGTGTAGTGGGTTCATATTTACATCTTAATATTTGTTCCACTCTTAATACCAAATCTTTATATGTATATATATATATATATATATATATATATATATATATATATATATATATATATATAAATATGTCAATAAATAGAAAAAGATATGTATGAATTATTTCAGGGATTTTGTACTCCTCCTGAATTCTCTGACGAAATTGACCAAGGTGATGGAAAAGAGAACAAAGGTGGCATGGGACTTACAGATGGTGAAGGCGAACGTGACGTTTCCGAAAGAATCGAGAATGAAGATCAATTAGAGGACGCTCATAAAGAAGGTATGGAACAAGAACCAAGAGAAGATAAGGACTGCGAAGAAGAGGAAAAAGGTATAGAAATGTCGGATGACTTTGATGGTAAACTTCAAGATCTTAAACAAAATCCTGACGATGAGTCTAATGGAAGTGATGAGGATGAAGGCGATGATGCTGATAAACAAATGGGTGATACAGAAGAGGGAGCAGAACAGTAAGTAAATTCTGTAGATTATGTGTACAAAAGGATTTATACTTGATTAGATACTTACAATTTCATTATTTTAGATTGGATCAACAAATATGGGGTGAAGATGAAGATGATAATTCTAAAGAAGAAAGTAAGGAGCAGGGAGAAGGTGGAGAAGGTCAGGATACTGGAGAACAGGAAATGGGCGTTCAAGAGAACGAAGATCGCACTAACACTAGCAATCGCGATCCCAAAGCTAATAACGATGGTGAAGAAGGTATTTCATTCAAAGGAGAAGTTTGTTTTCATAAAAGAATCCGATTTGCTAATTTTATGTTTTCTCGACGTTTCAAGCCATTCTGAATCGAATGAATTTGGAAAAATTATGTATGTGTGTGTATGTTTATTATTTTTTTTGTATAGCGAAGGAAATGCCTTTATGCATCCCAGACTGGTGTTTTGTGTGGGTATGTTGGACTCAATACCGCCCTGGTATAATACCGACTAAAACCTCCGCTTTGCCCTTGCCTCAGGTATTCACGGAAACTGCCGTTAGGCATTACTTTGTGGGGGAAGGATCTAGAATGTTATAATTTTGTGTGTATGTGAACAGATTTTTTGCCGTCAATCGACGTTTTCTCAAAAACGACTGGATCGATTTCAAAAATTTAAAAGCCTCGATGAGGACTAGCGTTTATCAATTTTGCGCGACGATCAGCCAAACCGTTTCTTTATAAATAGCAGAAAAGTGAGAAATTTTTCGTCCTCGTTTTAGTCCGCAGTTCTGAATCGATTTTGAAATTTCAAAAGCCTTTCGAAAGATATTGGTTGGGAATCGTGCTGATGAGTTTTTGGTAGAAATCGGCCGGGCCGTTTTCTTGTAAAAAGAGTTGAAAATTTTTTTTTCGACGATTTTTATTATTTTTTTGACGGTAGATACTATAGTTTTCTAGATCATACTGAAATATTACGGCCCTACGACAACTCATTTAGCTTTAAAAATTGGTCAAAGTTTGCAAAAATTAGTATCGTTTTTTTGGCATTTGTCAAAATTAGACCTTTCATCGACGATTGCTCAAAAACGCCTGAACCGATTTCAGAAATTTAAAAACCATTTGATGTATCTCGGTGAGGATTATCGTTTGTCAGTTTTGTGAGACAATCTGGCGAACCGTTTCTTTGTAATTTGGAAAAAAGTGTTAAACTTTTCGTCCACATTTAAGCTCATACTACCGAATCGATCTTAAAAAATCAAAAACTGTTCGACAGATATCAGTTTTTGACGTTTGTTAAAATCAAAATTAGACGATTTACTTGGTATAACGATAGAGTACTTGTTCTAAATGAACATGCTAAACCATTAAAGTCCTATGGTTCAATTATACAATTTATTGATTTTTGAAAATTTGCTTTTAGAAAATACTCCGAGTTAACGTGTTTGTTCGTTTTCAATTATGTGTAATAAATCCACTCAGAATACTTTTAATGACTCATAAATTAATTTATTTTTTATTGATTAAGTCGTTTATTTACACATATCAGGAAGTTCACGTAACTTGCCTCAAGGCAAAATACCAATACCAACTAGTTTTTCTTTGTTTCATTTTTTGGAGATCATATATTTCATTTGATATTATTTGCAATTAGAAGCCGATTCTAAGCAGCAAAAGAAAGAAATTGATGACATGCAAGAACCTGATGTGAACGATGATCAAATTAATCCTTATCATGGTGATTTGAAACCGCCACCAGAAACAGAAGCTTTGGATCTTCCTGAAGATATGCAGTTGGATGAGGGTGATGTCAAGGAAGAAAATGCAGAAGAAAGTAATCCCTTTGATGTAGACACAATGAAAGGTATATATTTCATATATATGATAGGTAAAGCAGTTTCTTTAGAATTAGTAGAAGGTACGAAATTTTGCGGCTTTCGCAAAAAACTGATTTTGAAAGCTAAAAAACCGTCCGAAAGATACCATTTTGTGCTAATTAGTTTTTGCCAAAGATCGGTTAAGCTGTTTCTTTATAATTAAATGTTAATTTCTTTAAGTTTTTAATAAAACTTAACACGTCGAAAAAATTCATTAAAGTTTGGATCAATCGGCCGTGTTTTTAAGACATACATGCGCGTGTTACAAGAGTGTTATAATTAATACAATTACAAATATTATAATTTTGTTATAGATTAATTCAGATTAGATTAATATCAGAAAGGTTCACCCAACTTGTCTGGCAAAATGCAATGTACACCTAGTTACTTATTTATTAGCAAGTTTTAAGGTTCAATTTGTTAAAATTTTTGTATTTTTTTTTTTAAAGAAGATGTTAAGCCTCCGGCTGAAGAGATGAATGATGAAAAATCTACTGAAAAGCAAGAGGAGGATACAAATCAGAAAACAGAGCAGGATTCGAGTGATGATGAAGGCGATTGTGAATTAGATAAAAACACAAAGAAAACACAAGAAAAAGGTAAATACACTGAAATACTAAAATAAATGAGTTGAATTAAAGTTTATTCGACTGAAAAGAAATTTTATAAAATTACTTTTTCTGATAAAATCGTTTTTAGTGAAAAAGTGTTAGTTGTATAATCATACTGGTAATTAATTCTCCTTTTTCTTAATTTTTTTAAAAACTTTATAATATTTTGTTTATAAATTTCTAATATTTTGTTATATATACCACTCATTTATCTTAATCATTTTCATTTCGATTATATTGTCATATTTCTGTAATGTTATTTCTTCCACAATTTTATTCATTTTATATAAATAATCCACTATTTTCTACTTTACTTAAATATATTGTTTGTTTAAATCTTATCAAGATCATGTTTCTTGACAGATGTCCTGAAGATGGAATTTGTCCAAAACGTCGACAGTAAATAAATAAATAAATGTTTTTTTAAAAAAACTTTTGTTTTACATTACTTCTTGGATTCTTTGTTCAAAGTTCTACATATATATATATATATATATATATATATATATATATATATATATATATACAGTATAAACACTTTTTAGATGAAGAGGATCAAATGAAGGATGATGATGATACTACCACAAAAGGCTCAGAAATGAAATATGATGCAGAAGATACTCCAGAGCCCATGGAAGATAACAAAAATGATGAGCAGAATTCTGAGGATCAAAAAACTGATACTGCTGCTTCCAATTATCAACCATCTGAGAAAATAGAAGTGGAACCTATGGAAACTGATGAGCAGTGCTCAATTGATCAGGTACCAAATTTTAAAACTCATATTTTTATTTAACATTAATCTAATAAAATAATTTCTATTTAGGCTGCATCATCAATGAAACCACAAGAATTGCCCAATGATAATCAAAAACCGTTTGATAATCCTGACCAAGGCAAAGATTCTGGTGGACAATCACAAGAAGAAAATGTGGACAGCGGTTCAAAACAAAATAATGAAACTAATATAACACGTACTAGTAAGAACACAGAACAACAAGATGTAGTTCAGAAAAATCTGAAAAATCAAGCGTCTCAGGCCAATGAGGAGCGTAGTTTAGGTAAGGAAAAAAATGTTGTAAATATTGTGGCATTAAATTAATTCCTGTGCTATAGTTAAAAATAACTCATGACAAGGTAAATGCAATATGGGAAAATGTGAGTGTTTTAAAGATGTTGTCTATACATTTTCTTCCAATTTGCTAATTTTGTTTTCTTGATACTCCTAATAGTATTGAATTGAGACCAAACTTGGTTAAAGGATGTGTGTGTATGATGTTTTTTTTTATCTTTCGTCGACATTTTCACAAAAATAGCCGGTCCGATTTTAAAAATTTAAGTCGTTTGGTATAGCCGTTAGTACTTTTCAGTTTTGTGCGACTATCAGAAATGTGTGAAAATTTTCTTCCACATTTTAGCCCACAATCTTGAACCAAAAACTGTTTGAAAGATATTGGTTGGATATTGGATTGATTAGTTTTTGGCAAAGATCGGCCGGGCCGTTTGTTCGTAAATAAATGTTGAATAATTTTTTATTTTATAAAGAATTATCAAAGTTTACAATTTTGCCGTGGTAGGGGGCGTCCATTAATCACGTGTGGTTTTTAGGTGGAGGGGGGGTTTGACAAAAAATCACGAAATATCACGTGGGGAGGGAGGGGTATAGTAAGATATCACGTGTATTTATTTTTTAACTGTTTTTTTTTTTTGAAAAATCAAACATTTTCAAAAAAAAATTACTTCATTCAAGTACATTATCATTACAGTGTTTTCACATAACTAAAAATACACGTGATGTTTGGTGGGGGTGGGGGTAATTTTGAATATCACCATGTATCACCAAGGGGGAGGGGGGGTCCAAAAATCCTTAAAAACTAGCTCACGTGATTAATGGACGCTCCCTTACGTACATTTCGCAGATACAGAGCTAATTTTGCAAAAAATTGTAGTTTTTAAGAGAACTAAGGGTCCGATTTGAATGATTTAGGTGATAATAAAGATAGTTTTGAAAAACATCTTAAAACAGTGGATATAAATGATCAAGAAAATGAAAATGATAGTATCAATGATGAATCAATGCAGAAAGCTGACATGTACAGGCACATTAAAGATGCTATGGAATCTGATAAGCAGGTAGGAATATTGCAAGATTAAATGAAATACAAATTATAAGTTTAAAGTTATTTTAGATTGCAGAAATGCATATAATTGATTGAAATTCTAATTGCAGCAGGTGATGGATACTGCAACATCACAGCAAGCTCAGTCAAATCTAGTGGATCTAGAAGAAAATGATAAAAATGAAGAAATAACTGAGGATGATGATGTGCTAATGGATGTAGATTCAGAAATAGCACAGGATCTAACACAAGAAGAATTGCAGGCTCAGAAATTAGATTCTAATGATAAAATAAAAAAAGAACAGAACCAAAGAAAGAAAGTTGATAATATGAATCAAGAAATTGATACTGAGCAAATAGAAATAGAAGGTGAAAAGATTCTGACCTACAATGTGGAAAGAGTTGCTGAAAATACATTTTGCACAAGGTCAGTTTGAATCACACATATTACATACCTATTGTGTTATGTATGCCAATTTATCAAATTCTAATGTTATATTATTTTGAAACTGGTATCATAGTTTTGAAACTGGTGAATTATAAAAATAGATAAGGAAATGTTCTGTTCGACTACTATTACAAACTTGTTTATATAACAATATTATTCATTCTATTGTTTTCTAAAACTATAGTATATATATATATATATATATATATATATATACATATATATATATATATATATATATATATAAATATATATATATAAATAGTTAAATTTTTAAACATTTTTATGCAGCATGGATATTAAAGAAGATTATCACTCAGAAACCAACTTAGATATTTCTCAAATAGAAGAGATAGAACGAAGATTACAAGAAAATCTTTTGGCGTCTTACGAACACCAGGTAATATATTTATGGTATCTATCATTAATTATATGAGCAGTCCCATAAATCACTTACAATACTGCTAATAATATAAAGACTGTCTGAATGTTCAAATTATTCAAAGAAAGAAACAAGTAGTTCTGAATAGTTTTTGATGTTGTGATAGTAACTATGTTTTTTTTCTCATATTTTTTTTATTATAAATAATGTTTTTAAAAATTTAGCCCATGGGTTCTACTGAATGGGAAAAATTATGGTGGCGCACTGGTAGTCAAGCGCGTGAATTGTGTGAACAATTGAGACTGATATTGGAACCAACACTAAGTGCCAGGCTGAAAGGGGATTACAGGACTGGACGTAGAATAAATATGCGAAAGATTGTGCCATATGTAGCTAGTGAATTCAGAAAAGACAAGATTTGGTTAAGAAGAACCATGCCTAGTAAAAGAGAATACAGGATTATCATTGCTATTGATGATTCAAGGTAATTTTCTTTTTTTACTAAATTTTTTCATAATTTGTTCAATTCATGAAACTAATATTCAAAGTTGATAACTTTATTTTTAAAAGTAGTAGACAAAATAATTTTTCTTATAAATTTATTACATAACAAAATATACTACATTAACATTTATTGCTGTTATTTACCTATAATTTTATTCCAATCTATTTATCTATTTGATTTTCTCTAATTTATAGCTCAATGAGTGGCAACCAGTCAACCGAAATGGCATGTGAAAGTGTAGCTCTTGTTTCACAAGCTCTCACTCTACTTGAAGCGGGTGATTTATCTGTTTTGAGTTTTGGTGAAGTTCCTAAAATTATTCATCCTTTCCGAGAACAATTAACATCTCAAACTGGATCAAGAATAATTAACCAACTAACCTTCCAGCAAAAGAAATCTCACTTTGCGAAAATGCTAGACTTTGCAGGAATCATGTTCGAAGAGAATTCAGGCCAAGCAGCTGACTTACTAATTATTGTTAGTGATGGATGTATAAGTAGTGAAAACCAGGAAACAGTGCGTCAGGCCGTGCGTCGTTTGCGGCAAGCGAAAATATTTATTATATTCCTCATTGTGGATAATGTGAAAAACAATGTGAGTATTTTATACTTTACAGTTACACAATTAATAATGATTTTTTAAGAATTGATATTAACTAAGCAAAAAATATGTTTTCAGTGTTCTTTAGTTGATACTCGCATTCCTTTGTTCAATGATAAGCAACAACTTATAGGAATGCAATGGGCTATGGATGTGTTTCCATTTCCATTTTATCTATTTCTGCGAGACCTCTCTTCCTTACCATCTATACTCAGTGATGCCTTGAGACAGTGGTTTGATTTGACTACAAAAAGTGTCATGTAAAATTTAAGATAATAGGATGTAAGTTGTTACCGTAATATTTTTAAAATTATTTATGTATCTTATCATGAAGTGTATTACATATCAAATATATAAATTTATTGCATGTATCTATCACCCAAACCTATTAAATACAATTTAATAGATTGGATATAAAGTTGAACTTCTTGAATATATTTTAAATTGATCAATTGAAATTAAATTTTGTTCTACTGCACTTTATTTTGTATACTATTATATTTATCGAGTTCTATATGCCCGTTAGTAATTATGAGCAGAGAGTATTATTTTGTTTCTCCATATTATTTGACTTAAAAATACTTTTTTAAAGTCTCCTCCATTTCAAGAGGACTAACATTTGGTGAAAACCGTTCAACTGGTTGTCCATTTTTATCAATAATAAATTTTGTGAAATTCCATTTTATAGTATTCACAATAGTTCCAGGCTGTTTAAGTTTAAGATAATTCCATAGGGGATGTGCATTATCACCATTGACATCAATTTTCTCAAAAAAATCAAATTTAGCATTTCTTTCTGCAGCAAAGCAAACAATTTCTTCCGGAGTACCCGGTTCTTGGTTAAGGAATTGATTACATGGGAAAGCCAAAATTTTCAAACCTAATAAAATCAATTTATTTAATAATTTAGTTATGATTTTCATAAATGCTCAAAATGTTAAATATATGTATATTGAGATAAAACATGTTATGTTACATATTTCCACTTAACAATACAGTGTACAAAAAATCAATATCTGAATAATTCTTTTGAATACCTTTACTTTCTCCATATTTTTCTTGCAATTCTCCTAATTCTTTGTAATTGTTTGCAGTTAATCCACATTGTGAGGCAATATTAACAATAATACACACATGACCTTTATATTTTGATAAAGAAACAGTATCTCCTTTAATATTTTTTGCAGAAAAGTCATAAATGGATTTTGCATTGGCGTAATCTGCAGGATTGGTAGTAGTTGCCATTGTCGCTACACTAATTGAAAATTCATAATAATTGTGACTATCATATGAGTATTCATTTTGAAACCTACTTACTTCGGAGAGCAAAGGCGTAATGCTACGAATGCAGCACTTACAAAGCCTAGGGATGTTAATCGAGCCATTGTAAACCTGCAAATATATAATATAAATACACATACATACATTTATATATATATATATATATATATATATATATATATGTATATATATACACATATACATCATACATGTATATATATATATATATTAGGGTGGTCCTTAAAATGGTCATTTTCGAATTTCCTTGCTCCCAGGTGCTCAAATGATTCCAAATAAATAAAAAACAATTCTCTGAAAATTTTAGCTCTTAATATTAACGTTTAGAAGATAGAGCGCAATTCAGTCAAAGTTTTGTATGAAAATAGCATGGAAAAATTTTCAAAAATTTTAAAAATGTTTTTTAAATGTAATTTAGCGAACAAATGAATGAATAAAACTCATTCATTTGTCGCTAAGTTATACCTAAAACATTTTTTTTTAATTTTCAAAAAATTTTCCATGCTCTTTCCATACAAACTTTGATTGAATTGCGCTCTATCTAAACGTTAATATTAAGAGCTAAAACTTTCAGAGAATTGTTTTTTATCAATTTGGAACTATTTGAGCCCCTGGGAGCAAAGAAATTCGAAAATGACCATTTTAAGGACCACCCTAATATATATATATATATATATATATATATATATAAATAAATGTAAATATATGATGCACTGTTTATACATATATAATACATGAATATGATGAAAATCTATCGATTAACTTCTGAACATTTTAATATCATTATTTTTTATTTGAATTATCTTTTAAATTTTATACTTCTCAGACAGGCAGAAGTGCCTGGTATGAGAGATCGTACAAAATATTTATATATAAAGTAATTATCATTACAATATTTTATATCATTTATTTTGTAATTCAATCTTTTTATATCATTTATTCTATAATTCAAAATACCAAAGATATACCAAAACAATAAAAATATGTAAATATTTACTTTAATTTTATTAATTGCATAAAAAAGGATACAAATTAAATAAATAACACTGCAAGTGACAAATGAAAATAGATGATTTTGAGAAATTTATATAAGAGTATACCAATATAATTACATAACTAGTTTTAAAAGATAATTGTTGATTCAATGAGTAATCTCATATCATTTTTTTTATCTGATTTTTTATTAAATATCAGTATAATGAACTTGCAAAATCTTTCATCATAGGTTATGTTGAATCATTGAATATAATAAAATAATTAATTAGTATCCTAAATAACGGACTAGATTCCTTTATACGTGAGTAATGATTAAAATTAAAATCAATGTACAATGTATAAGAAAATTCTTTGGGTTAAAATGTCAATTTATATGCAAATAATCATTGTTCTCTTGTAATTTAATTTATTTATTTGAGTTGAGTTGAGGTTACATACTTGATATATCTTCAATTCTTTCTCGATGCAGTAATCATAAATAAATTATTGTGTGTTCACTAAACAGCATTGGAACAAATTTCGTTATGATAAACTTATTATAATTGTGTTAATTTTAATAATGAATGTGTAAGTAACATAACAATTGTTAAATGATTGTAGATTTTGCTATGTTGTCTCAAAGTCAAGTATCCCATTTGAATAATGGCACTAATTCTTCTAAGGGAGAATGGAAAGAGCATTTAATTCAAGTTCCTTGGGGACATGTTGCAGGTAAACAATTAAATTGTTCTTATGACATTAATTATTTTTTTTAGTTTCATTTCGTTCCGGATTCAACTCCTTGTGAATTATAAATTATAACTTATACATATAATGCGGAAACAAATTTTGAATTTGTTTTGCATGTAAGTTTTTCTTTTTGTTCAGATTCGAGGCCCAATACATTTTTTTGACAAATTCCTACAAATGACAAATACTTCATTCAATCAATCAATAATTCAGTAGAATATATAAGTAGAATTACATATTATGAATGGAATGGATATTTGTGAATTTGAACATGCTTTATTTTTGCACTTCTCATGAAGGATCTAATTACTAAACTAGGTGAATTGTCTTATCATCAGTGCAATTTGATGTCGAATGCTTTCATATTAAATACTTTATAGTTTATATACTGCAGTACGCACTCTTTGTAAATAATATATTATTTACCAAACGCACTCTTTGCAAAAAATATATTATTTACTAAAGAGTGCGTTCTGCAGTATATAAAGTATTTAATATGAAAGCATTCGACATTAAATTGCACTGATGATAAGATAATTATAATCGTTATCCATTCCATTCATAATATGAAATTCTACTTACATATTCTACTTAAAAGACATGTCTTTTGCAAAATATTTATTTGGATATGTTAAATATTGAACAATTGTTTAATGATAATTATTTTCTAAACTTATTTTAAATACAAAAATCACTTTAACATTATACAAACTGCATCACTATTTATATAAAATAGAATTAAATAAAACAAACTATTAATTATATTAACGAGCAATGCTCATTTTTAGTTATATAAGAGCAACTTATTTTACTAATTTTTGATAAATTCAAAACACTTTAATCAATCAATTAATATTTAGAATTTTATATTGTGAGCGGAATGAATAATTAAATTATTTAAATATGAACACTCTGTACATAATTTGTCTGATCATTTAGCAGAAAATTTAATCTTACTAACTCTTATATAATTTTATTAACAATCTATAACGTTCTTCGAGTGTTATTTATTAGACATGTGCACATACTTTTAATTTAGTTTTCATTTCTTTCATTTTGCATTAAATTTTCATCATCTCATTTCCCTCAAAATTCATCTCATAAAGTACTAAATTAAATAAATACATATAGTTACTATTCATAATACAATATATTAACAATAAGTAATTTCTTTGCTGTAAAATTTTACCAGATGAGGCAAATGATTTCGATTAGATAAATTAACATTTGCAATATATTTTTATAGTACTTTATCAAATAAAGTTAGTGCAAAAATATAATGTAGTGATATATATATATATATATATATATATATATATCCAGTAATAATTTCTTTTTTTCTCAGTAATAATTTAATATAGTGTAGTGTTATATATATCGGGTTTATAATGTTGTAAACTTTAGCAAAATTTTATAGAATAGATTATATATATTTTATAGATAGATTAATATATGTATACGTGTGTGTGCGAATTTTATTCATTATTATAATAGTTTTTACTTTTATATCAGGTAAATGGTGGGGCGACTTAAATCAACAACCCATTCTCTGTATTCATGGTTGGCAGGATAATGCAGGGACATTTGATAATCTCATCCCATTACTTCCCAAAAATTTATCATTTTTAGCAATTGATTTACCTGGCCATGGTCTGTCATCTCACTATCCAAGAGGGTTGCATTACTATTTATTTTGGGATGGCATTTCTCTGATTCGCCGTATTGTTAAACAGAACAAATGGACTAATATCAAACTCATGGGACATTCTTTGGGTGGTGCTTTATGTTTCATGTATGCAGCAAGTTTTCCAGAGGAAGTGCATAGTTTTATCAGTCTTGATATCTTGGGACCCACCATTAGAGATGTTGATAACACTGCAAGTCGATTGGGCGCTTCAATTGATAAATTTTTGAAATATGAAACTATTCCAGAAAGCAGTTTACCATTCTATGACTACGATGAATCGTTAAAGTTAGTTTTAGATGCCTATGAAGGATCTATAACAATGGAATCCTGTAAAGTTTTAATGAAGAGGGGTATGGCACATTCCCAAAATCAAGATAAAGATGGCTATCATTTTGCTCGTGATTTAAGACTTAAAGTATCACTCATGGGCATGCTTTCTATAGAACAAGTATTAGCTTTTGCATCAAAAATTGTTTGTAAAGTATTGTGCATACGTGGAGTTCCAGGTATGAAATTTGATAAACCAGAATATTTTCAATCTGTGGTGGAGAAAACTCGTGAAAGTTCAGAAAGATTTGAATACCATGAAATTCAAGGTACACACCATTTACATTTGAATACTCCAGAAATGATATCAGAAATTATTACTGAGTTTATAATGTCGTAAACTTTAGCAAAATTATATAGAATAGATTATATATATTTTATAGATCGATAGATTAATATATGTATTTGTGCTTTCAATGGTGATATTATTTATTAAATTTGCTTTTAAAATAATATAGATGATATTATAAGTTGGTAGTTCAAGTGTAAGTGAATTGTAATCATATAAATATATTTAGGTGAAAGATACATATGTATATTGTTTTATTTAATTTATAGTTTAATAACACAATGGATATGTTGAATACTTTGTATATTATTTACAGTGAGTGCCTAGCTGTTTTTTATAAAACATTTATTTGGGCATCTGTTTAATGTTAAGAAGACATTATAATATAAAGTTTAGAAAATATATTTTCTAAACATCTCATTCATTCATATTATCTATATATTGTGAAAACGTGAAAAAATTTCTTGTTCCTCAGTAATAATTATTTTTACAGCTTTTAATTACTGTCTTGCTAAACTAGTGCTCATGATTACAATTGAGGTATATTATTTAAATAAAAAGTAAGAAATAAAAACTTGCTTCGTTAAAAAACAAATATATATATATATATATATATATATATATATATATATTTATATTTATATATATGAAGCAAGCCCAGTCTGTGCCAACAATAATATATACCAGTTATTATAACATATTTATTATTACAAGTCATTTTTCCATTATAGGAGATTCCAAGTTTTTTACCCTGAGCGTTTTGCTTATTTATCTATGATCCTGAGTATCTTGTAAGTGTAAACATTGCAGTGGCCCACTTCCAACGCAGACTTTAGTAGTACCTTTTACCTTTACCTCTAACTGGTTCTTTTATAGTTTCACACATAGATAAAAGAAGAGTATTGTAAGTGGTTTCACAGTTACAATTACACACAGTTACAATTACAGGTGAAATAGATTTGAAACTATCTATCAACATCTTATATAAGTAAATAAA